ATTTCCGTAATGAATTGCATAAAATGAAGATATGTACCATATGTTGATTTTTAGAATGGCCATGCAAGAGATAATAAATGGGTGTTGATACAAGGAAGATCACAAGATTAAAGTGTTATTATGTACATTGCTATTATATGATTGTCTATAGAAATTATAATGTTATATTTCTGTCTCCCATATATTAGTGGTGACAATGCCCATGAGTCGCAAAGCCTTGGGAGTCAAGATGACTCGTGAGTCAGGATGCCCCGTTAGTCTAGATGCCTCATTAGTCAAGATTAATTGCCAGTGATAAATATGATATGTGTATATATGCATATATAGATATATGTTAGATGTGTATATCGACAATTACTTTATGGTAGCCGTGAATTAAAATATGTTATTTTATTTGCTTGCATGACTGAATAATCTTCTGCAATATGTTAAGTGGTTTTCCTTGGCATATCATGATAGAAAAGAAAATGCATTTACTCATTTAATCGCCTTACATAGTTATTTTGTACTTGTCTTGTATTCACGTCGTTCTGTTGGTACCAAGTTGAGTAATAAGATGATCTATTACCTTGGACTTAAAGATTTCATTTACTAGGCTTTGGCTCACTCATTTATTTATTTTTCAAATATAAAGGATGGACCCTGTTCTGTCGCTAGGTTTTGGAGTTCCTTTGTATATATTATGGAACTATCAATATGTACTTATATCGGGATTCAAGATAGTGTACATTAAGGGTAGTTATACTATCTGGGTGGATGTGAGATATCCAAAGTTTCACCCCCTCATTTTATTGCTTGATATGGCGATATAAATGGCGAGACAGTTGGACATTTAAGAGGGTTCAATTGTCCCATGGGCATGACGATGGAGGGGACGTGATGATGCCAGAATTCATCAACTCTTGAGTTGGACGGTGGTTTGGATGATGTATAGGCTCACTTTTGATAGTATGGGAGTAATGACGATAGTTGACCCGACCTTCTTCCCAAATTAATGTGTTGTTGTCTATTTCATTTTGGGTTATTCTATTAATACTTGGACATTAAAGGAGGGATGCATATGTAACTTATTACATATTGATTTGATTATATTATTATGCTTTCGAGTGCTTCAAAGAGTAATAAATAAAAGAACAGAAAGATCTTGTTCATGCTTGATGTTCTAGGGCATCACACAAAGACTCTGTTTGTTACACGGAAAACAACTTTCATGAAAAAGTTTTCCGGGTTTTCCAACATTTGTTTCATAGAAAATAAACTAATACAATAAAACATTTTCCATCATTGGAAAAACGACCTTCAAAAGTGAAAAAAAATAATTTCCTCTTTTTCCCTCCTCTTTCTTTCACCCAGACCAAGCACATTCTCCTTTGTGCACTCCTTTTAATTATTTTGTATTTTGTATTTTTCTTTTCTTTTTATTTTTTATTTCTTTTTTAAAAAATCAAATTTTTAATCAAATTTTATTTTTTATTTTTCCATCTTCTTCGGCCGGTGGCTGGCCACGATGACTAGTCGAAGAAGAAGGAAAAAGAAAAAGAAAGAAAAAAAATTAAAATTTTGAATTTTTAAAAACGAAAAGAAAAAGAAAAAATTATTAAATGAATGCACGAAGGAAAATCAAATCAAATTTCCATACCAAAAGGCGGAAAATATTTTCTAATTCATTTTTCAGATTTTAGCCAAACAACGAAAAATATTGCCATTTTCTTAGAAAATGACTTTTTGGAAAACATTTCCAGAAACGTCACATTTTCTGCGAAATAAATGAGGCCTAAGAGGAATTGGATTGAAAATGACTTATTGAAAAATATTTTCCAGAAATGTCACATTTTCCGCGAGATAAACAGAGTTTAAAGTGCAATTAAAATTGTAATTTTGTCTTCGTCTTTTGTTTTCTTATTTCATGCTTGAACAATAATTGGAAGTGTAGACTAGTGGATTTGTATGTTTATAATTGCTTATTCTTGTTTTATAATATTATGAGTGATAGGGAAAACATGCTCCTATGTTATTTCAATAGTTGTTAAAATCTTACAATTTTACGATCTGATTTCAAGAATCCCTAGTGATTTTACTTAAAATCCCGAGTTTGACAACCTTGATGGGAGAGTTGACATTTTATGAGCCATGAGCCCCCTTTTTTCACCAAAATTGTAAGTGACAAAGGTGTCAAAAAGGAAACCAAGATTTTGCATTACATTAAATTTGGACAACACAATACTTCTATGAATTAATTTTCGATGTCAGTTTTCCCAATAAATTGCCATTGTAATGCAAATTTCAAAAAGGAAAGAAATGAAAGGGAAAATTAAAACCAAACAACATAAATACAAATCTTAGCTAACCTATATAAACAAGGGAAAAAGTCATAAAAAAAAACCTTAAATTATGCCCATTGTGACATATTTACCCTCAACTTTTTTTGTGACATCAAAAAATTCAAAATATATCCACTCTGACGCATTTACCCTAAATTTTTTCTTCTGACATAAAAACCTCAAACTTGTACCTATGTAACACATGTGCCCTCTTTCAAGGTTCTGTTAGATGATTTTACAGCCAAAACCACGTCGTTTTTATTTTACTTAAGCCACATGAGCACCATGTCAACACTATTTACTTTCTAGCATTCATGTAGGCATATTTTTAACTATTCTCATTGACAGAATTTTGCTGAAAAGTAAATATGTCACGCATGTACAAGTTTGGGATTTTTTGTGTCACAAAAAAAATTTAGAGTAAGTTTGTCATAGTAAGCATAGTTTGTGATTTATTATTGCTTTTTTCCTATAAACAAAACCAATATCGAAAAGAAGAAGAGTCAAAGTTTCATCTCCGTAAGTAAAAGCTCGTTGTGGATGTATATACGATTGTCATGAGGCTTTCATTGATCAATTCATCTTTTTTTTTGCTAATGCGTTAATGCTTGATCAAATAAACAATCTAAAACCATAACTAAAAACGAAATTGATAGATCACAACTTTGGTAAGTAAAAGAGAAAAAGGATCACAATTGAAATTTAAAACATCTAATATTGTCTATTCTTGTAAAAATATATAAGCTTACCTAAAATCTGAATATAAAAGTCAAAACTTTAATTTACATGAATCATAACCTGATTTGCATAATCATATTGTTTCATATCCATAAACGGCTCTCTCAATCATCCATATGCTGGTCTACAAATTTTCATAGAACTTATTCACCATCAAAAGAATATAAATCCATCGGTTATTTGGCATGCATTATATTATTGGAAAATGATAGGAAATAATAAAATTTTCTAAAGAAATACTTAGTAGGAGTTATGGGAAATGTTACAAATTTTCATATTTGTTAATTTGTAATATTAAAGCTCATTTTTGTTGAACAAAACTTACAATGTTGGATGTGCCTTGAATGAGGCAATTATAAAATCCTAATTGGATGCAAAAAGAGTGCAGAAAGCAAGAAAATTGCTTCTTGCAAAGAGAATGATCAACCTCTTCTTATCTAGAGTCGTATGTGTCAATAGTAGAGGTAGTTGACATGAGCTCATATCAAAATATATAAAGTAGCTATATTCACTAATTTTCCGAAAGAACGTCTCGTCGAGACTCGCTAACAATTTTTTCGCTCAAAAATGACCAGCTAAGATGACTTCCTTTCGTTCAATCCATCCGCTCTAGCAATGTCAACTATTCATACATGTACCATATTAGACATGGCCTATAGTTGCAAAGTAAGAAGAGACTCCCATTATGATTAAAGAAAAAGAGAGATTACATAGATTCGGTTGTCTTCCATGTGGTGATTGTTGTGTTGGTTTATAATTTAGTAATCATTACTCTATGAATTAGGTTAAGGATCATAGTGATCATTACTCCTCTGTAAGAAGAGAAGATTTTTCCTAAAATCACTGGGGTGACATAAGAGGGAGCTCAATATGGTGAGACAAGGTCCCACAAATTGGGCATGACATGAATTAGTCAACAAGAACATTATCTTGGGCAAAGTGAGTAAGTGTGCTCCCATTTTCCAACTGTCCAAGTTCATAGTGCCCATGAGTTTCCTTTCATTATCAGTCATTTCACTTGTCAGGTCACCATTTGTCCACTCACCCTGGTGTTGCAAATCTCTTTATTTTCCCTTCATCGAAAACCGCAAAGACTTATCGAAATATGCAATGCTATCAAATCTTCGACCCGTCTAAAAAGTGTAACTGAGTCATTTCGTTAGTTTCACCTATTTTGAATGTCATTAAGAAAGATGACTTGTCTTTCTTTGAAGGTTTTTGTAGAATAACCTTTGTATAAGAGGAGGACCTATTCTTGAACATGGTGAACTTCACTCCCGTCCTCTCTTTCGAGTTTGATTTATCTTTATGGGAAACCCATTCATTCATGAATCGGCGGCTATTTTGTTTTCGGTGTTGGTATGTAGGAAATAAAAGTTTTATGGGGCCTAAAAAGGGGGAAGAAAACGTCTGCCTCTCAAGTTCATTCATATAGATAAAAAGCCAATCGTGTTGAGATTAAGAAATCAGTAAGGAATCACTTAACCGTGACGAAAGTCGTATCGAATAGAATCCAACCCAAGGCATTCCGCCTTTCGAAGATGCAAAACCCTCGATCGAGTTGATCGACTCGAGAAACCTCGATCGTTTCCCACAAAAGATGCACATACCTACTTAATGACGGTACGGCGTTTTCGCAAAACGATCTATTAGACAATCGATATCGTTTGATTCGCCGCCTGGTTCAATAGTACCTCCGGAGCCCACTTCTTCCCCCATTCCACTCCACGAGAGATATAGAAAATGGGAAAGACTACAACTAAATCAGCCCAAGCAAGGCTTGATGGCCCAATTGAAATGGGCCCAAAATCACCAAAGCCCAAAAAGGAAGAGAGCCCAATCGAAAATGGGCCCAAAATCATCAAAGCCCAAAAAGGGAAGAGCCCATTGTATCTTCTCCCCACCATGCGGCGTTCTTCCGTCCACAAACCTAAAGTCGCGGAGCTCGCGAGCTCGGTCGAGTTTGGGAAAGCCTCGTCGGAGCTGGGGCAACAATGGCTTACTCGGCCATCCTCCACGGTTGCCTGAGGGCGGCGATGTCCGCGAGGCCGTCCGGCGTCCACCTCCGCAGGGCTCGCGGGGCCGCCGCCCCCGCGGCGGCGGCGTCGCTGCTCCGGTCGGTGCGCCCGCCGGCTCTCCTGGAGCGGCGGATGGTCGCGTCCCTGGCCGTGGAGGTGGGCCGGAGGCGGCGGGGGAGCGCCGCCGTCGCGCCGCCGTTTCGGCACCGGCAGAGCTCGAGCTACGGCCGGTTCGCTTATCAGGACGTGTCCAGCGACGAGTCGGACCTCGAAGTCGGTTCGTCTCAGCAGCAGCAGCAGAAGGTGAGTTTGGAGCTTCCGTGATTTTAGTGGAGCGAATGAGTGTCGGTCGTGGTTCTTGGTTGAGCTTAGTACGATAAAATTAGGTGCAAACGTTGGGATACGGGCAAGTTTCTGTTGGTGTCGCTGGGAATGATTTGGGTGGTAACCATGTGTTAAAAGCAAGCCTGCAGTGAAGAATTTTCCGCCATTTGGCTTAAGTTTCTCGCTAGTATGCTTCCCAGTACTTAGTTTTTGAATTGTGCTTACAGTGGAACCCAATGCCCTTTGTAGGACTGTATGTACAATTTGTTCCTCGATTGAGTATGGTAAAACATGTGGATGCGGAAACCGCAGTGCATGTGCTGTAAACTAAAAGAGTCCGAAAGTTTGAAGTATTGAAATCCCGTCTACGCCTCAGCTTCTTCAAGGTGTGGGATGGACTCGGAAATAAGATACATTCTGGATACCTATAGCATGAGCACTAGAAGGATTGCCTTTCCCTGGCTAGTTATTTGTAGACATGAGCAACAATAAGAAATAAGATTAATAGGAGGGCAATGGATGTTGTGAATAAGGATGTTCTATTTGGCATAGTGGTGCCATTTATGCCCAGATCAGTTACATTTTAAAGATTTTATATGCCTCGATCAGTCACGTTTTGAAGAGGTTATATGATAAAACAATATATAATATGACGAAAGCTGCAAGGAACATGCAGCTAGTTTTAAGTATTTGTCTGTTTAAATGTAAAAGGGTTTTGTTATCTAGTATCTCCAGGGCACTTATTAAGTGCACTTAACTAGGAAATGTTTTGATTTTCAATGCATTGCTACCCATAACACGAGATATACAGTGCCTTGGAAGTTGGAATGTTTCCTTAGATAGGTGTTTAACAAGTGTCCTAGGAGCACTTATGAACAAAGTCCTATGTAAAATTCAGATGGTTTTCTCAGATATGCATAGTATGTTTGTGCCAATCCCTTATTTAGCTGTGACATTAGATGTTCTTGTATACATTTGTTGCTGTCTCTATGAGATTTGGTTAGGCTAGATGTTGTTCTTTTAATTCCGTATCGAACAATTTAATCAAAGGAGTCCAATATGCAAATGATTTACGTTGATGCTATATTAAGAAATCAGTATTAGAAGTCTAGAACTTGGCGATAACATATTACTTGTGAACTTTCACTGTTGTATCAATTTGGCTAATTTGCTGATGGATGTAAATTTTCTGGTATGTTGAATCAACAGTCCTAATTCTGATGTCACCCTGCTTCTTAACTCTCTTAACTTATTAGGTTGATAGGTTAGTTCAGCAATTCTAGGGAATTTATTCGGTCTCTTGTAGTAGTAGCCTACTGGTCTTTCTGTAGCCAGTAAAAAAAGAAGGTTGCGGATCCTTTGTGCCAAGCAAGATGGCCCTTGTCCCAAGCGTCGAACATTGATTGCTCTTCATGACTAACAAAATTTGAAGCATCTTGTTGAAATTTTTTGTGGCACATAACCCCATCCATGTATACACCTGGATAGCAGATAGTTCTTGCTGGCTTTCACAGCTTCTCTTTTTAGGACGTTTCCTATTTTTGCTTAGTTTTTAGAGTAGATTTAATTTATATTTTTTTGGTTTTCTGTTGTGTTCTAGCATTCTACCCTTGACAATGTGGAAGAGTGGAAATGGAAGTTGACCATGCTTCTTCGTAATAAAGAGGAGCAGGAGATGGTATCTAGGGAGAGGAAAGACAGACGTGACTTTGAACAACTTTCAGCCCTGGCAGCCAGGATGGGTTTGTATAGGTACTTAAGCTTTGCAGATTACATCTTTTGTGGTTAAGGCCAGTCCTCCTCCCCTGTTTCATCATTGCCGCTATTTCTAATGTGCAATTTCCTTTTGCAGCCATCTATATGCAAAGGTAGTTGTCTTTAGCAAAGTCCCTCTGCCAAATTACAGATCTGATCTTGACGACAGGCGCCCACAGAGAGAGGTAAATTCCTGATATATTTATTTTGTCCCTCTCTTTATAACTCTATTTCCACATGATTATAGGAAGAGAGATATATGGATGAAGTGCCTGGCTAAAGTTGTATTAATAATGTAGTCATGGTTTTGAAACTTGGTGCGTCCACATGTTGAATTTTCTTGTGCAGTGAAAATGTAGACTAATGCTTTTGTGTGCATTCAGGTGGTATTACCGTATAGATTGCAAATGGAAGTGGATACACACCTCCAAGCATACCTTTCCCGAAAGCCCAAAAGTAGGGATAAGTTATTGTATTCTCCAATGTCAGAGCGTGGCGTTGATGGAAGTATTGCTGTTGATGATCTTTATGGCGAGCAGGAGCGTATTACACCGAACAGCGTAGTTGTAGAGAAAATTCAACGCCGGAGAAGTTTGCAATTGCGTAATAAACAACAAGATTGGCAGGTGAATTTAGCAATGAATTTTGTGGGATATTTTATAGATCGACGCATCTGTATGCCTGTTAAGTCGGGTCTTGATAATTTGCAACTATTTCTTATAACTGACAAGTACCATTAATGTCCTAGGAATGTCCCGAAGGCCAAAAGATGCTCGAATTTCGTCGAAGTCTCCCTGCATACAAAGAGAGGGATGTTTTGCTAAAAGCCATTTCAGAAAATCAGGTTGGTAGGATCTATAAGCTGGTTTCTGGTTTTGCTAAATTTTCATTTGTTAACCTGAAGTGGAAGTCATATTCTTTACTCGGGCCACCTGCTAAAATTTCATTTGTAGCACAAAAAGATAATTGATTGGTTATATCTAGTAAGTCTACATTGGCTCTCTAAAATGTTTGAGGTTAATGGACCTTTCTTTCGACTATATGCCTCAGAGGAAGACAATGACAGTAACCATGATATACAAATAAAATTTTCATCAAACAGGTTGAAGCTATGGTTATTTACCATGCTAGCATTCCATGGTACCTGCTCCCCTAAGATGCTTCTCCTAGTTCCTCTTCTAATAATTTCTGAGTGTGAACTAAGCCAAAGGTAACAACTAAACGTGTCATAATTTACAGCTTCAAATGAAAACTAGTTACGAAAGGAAGGCTTGAAGGATCTCCAACTGTTGCAGAGTCTTTGTAAAGTTTTAGAGGAAAATGTAATTACCTGCTTTATATGACAAAATATTAGAATTCCTCTTTAGCATTTTGGTTGCCTGTTGTTTTGATCCCCCTTCATGCAACATTGGGCCCTTTTCGAAACCTCACTTGTCTAGTCAATGAAGTGGCCATGAGCTTGAAGAACGTGCCTACTTGTACATCGTGTTTTGACAAATTTATTTGATATGCCTTTGTTGCTAAGGTGTGTATTGCAAACAACAATTGGGCAGAACACCAAAACAATGAGCAGAAATACCAGCTTTGGCATCATACCTCTCCTTTTATATTTTCATTGAAAACTTTTGAGCTTCTTGGTGGTGTAATGGTCTCCCATGTCCGAGGAAAAAACTAATTTATGTTTCTAAAGGAGCGTATATTGATGAGTTCAACTGGTACAGAGGCTTGCTTGAATAGTATCAAGAAATTTACATCCATGGATACTGTGGTTAGAATTTGTTAGGTATGACTATATTTCTTTTTGACACTATTTTCATGAATAATTGTTGATGCAAAAATGTATGTATATCTTATAGGTGGTTGTTGTATCTGGTGAAACTGGATGTGGTAAAACAACTCAACTTCCTCAATACATACTTGAATCTGAGATTGAAGTTGCTCGAGGGGGTGTGTGTAGTATAATTTGCACTCAGCCAAGAAGAATATCTGCTATGGCTGTTTCTGAAAGGGTTGCTTCAGAGCGAGGAGAGCAACTGGGAGAATCTGTTAGTTTTTTCATCTGGCAATGTGAATCTTGTTTTTAAGTAGTTATGCAAGATAGAGTATTTGCTGTCCTGTTGCTGAAGTATTTGCTGTTTTTTTCCTGACATAAGGTTGGGTATAAGGTTCGGTTGGAGGGGATGAAAGGGAGGGATACTCGCTTACTTTTTTGCACTACGGGCATATTGTTGAGGAGATTACTTGTTGACAGAAATTTGACTGGCGTAACTCATGTTATTGTTGATGAGATTCATGAACGTGGTATGAATGAAGGTAAGTATAAAGCTTTATTTTTTTTGGGCTATTTGGATATTCCTATATTGCCGTCCTCAGCTGAATTCTGCTTGTTTCAGATTTCCTTCTCATTGTTCTCAAAGATCTTCTCCGTCGCCGACCTGAATTGAGGCTGATTTTGATGAGTGCAACCCTCAATGCTGAGCTTTTTTCCAATTACTTTGGTGGTGCACCAATGATCCACATACCTGTGAGTTTGAGAAATGAGATATCAAATACTGTACCCCTTTTTGCCATTGGATGTAGTTTTTACTATGTCTTAATGTGAACTAGATGTGTTTGGGCACCTATATTAGCCTGTAGGTTACTTTTCAAGGATTAGTCCTATGTATTATGACATGATAAAGGTGCCCCTTTTTGTCATAGGGGAGATTATAACTTGATACTGCCTGAAAATTGAACTGCTTTATTATTTTATTAAACAGCTAGCATAAATTTTTCTGTGTCAGAATGCAACTTGAGAAGAACTTACAGTAATTCAGTGGGCTTTCTAAAAAAATCTCGAAATTTGGTGGTTCCTTCTTTATAATGTTGGACAGTTTGAAAAAGAGTCTTACTCATTGTTTTTGTGGGTAGCCATGAATTTTGTGGTCACAATTATTTTTGTGATATTGACTTAATACTTTCATTGTCTCCCTTACTTTTTCTGGCTGATCTGCTCAATTATAATTGTGCTCTTGTTTGTTATGTGTGCTAATGGAATTTTCTTCAGGGTTTCACCTACCCAGTCCGGTCTCAATTTTTGGAGAATATTTTGGAGATGACTGGATATAGATTGACTCCACATAATCAGATTGATGATTATGGTCAAGACAAAAGTTGGAAAATGCAGAGACAAGCTGTTAAGAAGAGGAAGAGCCAAATTGCTACTGCTGTTGAGGTACGTAAATTAGTTGAGCTTGTTTAGTTCTTTTATCACTGTTAAATTCTCAAACGATCCAATCTTTCTGCTTTTGCAAAGGATGCACTTGAATCTGCAGACTTAAGAGGGTACGGTCGGTGGACACGCGAATCTATGTCCTGTTGGAACCCTGATTCGATAGGCTTTAATCTCATTGAGCATGTGCTTTGCCACATAGTTCAAAAGGAAAGGCCTGGAGCTGTATTGGTTTTTATGACTGGTTGGGATGACATAAACTCCTTGAAGGATCAGCTGCAAGCCCATCCTCTCTTGGGTGATCCGAGCAGAGTTCTGTTGCTTGCCTGTCATGGATCCATGGCCAGCTCCGAGCAGGTGATACTCCATCTTCCGTGTATCTTTTAGTCTGTTTGTGACAGTGGTCTATCAAATTTTATTTTTTTTCACACTTTCCAGCTATTTTTATGTCCTTCAAATAATTAAATTGGTGATTACTCTTCTCCTATATCTTCACAGAGGTTGATATTTGATAAGCCTCCAGATGGAGTTAGGAAAATAGTCCTAGCTACCAATATGGCTGAGACTAGTATCACCATCAATGATGTAGTCTTTGTGGTCGACTGTGGAAAGGCAAAAGAGACTTCCTACGATGCGCTCAATAACACTCCTTGTCTGCTTCCATCTTGGATCTCAAAGGCTGCTGCTCGACAAGTAAAATGATTCCTATTTATCTACTTTTAGGCTTTTGTATAAGTGGTTCTTTATGCTTTATATATTTCTCATACCTTATAGGCATGAATCTCTTGCTTATAATTGCAAGTTCTGATTGGGGCCCTTGATCTCATTTTGCATCTGCAACATAAAGTATTTGGGGATGTTCTCACCATTATCATTTATCTTGTCAGCCTGCTATGTGTCCTCTCCTTCCGCCCATGGTCTTCCTTACTAATCTTGCATATGATAGAGAGATTACATATTGCTTGCATTTTATCAAAGAGATTGACTGAAATATACATCTTTTGGCAGTCTATCCTTATTACTAGGACGTGGTGTGGGTTAGTGTATGGATATTTCATCCCTAATCTCTACTTCAAACTGGCTAACTTTCACTTCTTGTTACTGTAGTACTACTCTTGCCACTCAACCATCAAAATAAAATTTGTGAAAAAGGATAAAAATTTGAAAGTTCTGTTAGTGAACATCCTAGAAATTATTGCAATTCTCCCATATGTGCATTCTGATGGTGAACCTTATTATTTCTACATGGATAATATTTTCCTATCTCCATCTTATGGGCATCACCCGCATGTAAACTTAATTACATTGAATGTGGGTGATATCCATGTTCATAATCAACCAAGCAGAGGCATGGTTCGTCCTACCAGGGATGGAGGAAAACATAACCCATTCTATATTCTTAAGTTTCGAAGACTTCTAGTGTTCAATTACGATAAATACACATGCAAAGTCATGGACATGTCAGATTCCAGGACACGTGTTCTTACCTGACGTTCAGTTCCCGAGTTCCAGTACATATGTGCAATTGGTCCAAGTCATTTGTTTCTGGCCTCAACCTATGGATTCTGCTGTTGCCACCGCTTTGAGAGTCAGACACCAGGATACACGTTCATACCTGACATTCAATTCCTGCGTCTGAGTAGAGTATGTGCAATTGGTCTGTGCAATTGGTCCGAGCCATTTGTTTCTAGCCTGGACCTATGTATTCTGCAGTTGCCATTGCTTTGAGCTTAGCTAACTTGTCTAAACTACGAAGTGACTGTTGCTGGCACAATTCTGATGTTTCTCCGTAGAGAATTTGATGAAAAGGCATTTGACATTCTAAGGGTTTGAACAGGGAAGTGTAATCAGTCTGGCGCTTCCTTTAATGTAGTGGTCATATGATTGAGTCAGTCCTCCAATTCTTTTGTAGGATGTGGCCTTCTTTAAAAAAATTTCTTGAGAATTTTCACATTCATTTCAAGTTTGATCTTTTGTTTGTAGAGAAGAGGAAGAGCTGGTCGTGTTCAATCAGGAGAGTGTTACCACCTCTATCCTAGATGCGTTTATGATGCTTTTGCAGACTACCAGTTGCCAGAACTTCTGAGGACACCATTGCAGTCCTTATGTCTGCAAATAAAAAGTCTTCAACTTGGAAGTATCACGGAATTCCTGTCTAGGGCATTGCAACCACCGGAATCACTTTCGGTATCAGTTTGACTTCCCTGTTCATATTTGTTTGTTTCTACAATTTCTTGTGCTTGCTAACATTGTTCAATCCATGTGTGATGCGTATGGCTTGTCTTCTAGTAGATTTATTATTGATACATTTCCGTGTTGCTTTTAAATTCTCTCTCTTGTAGGTCCAAAATGCTGTAGAATATCTGAAGGTGATTGGAGCTTTAGATGAAAATGAGAACTTGACAGTGCTAGGTGCTGAAATTATATATTTCCTCCTTATGTTAGTGTTTACTGTCTATGCTACTCTTCCCTGTTTACAACTGAACTTTTTGAAGAACCTGATCATGCTTGTTTCTTAATAGGACGCCAGCTTTCAATGCTTCCAGTTGAGCCCAAACTGGGGAAGATGCTTATACTGGGGGCCATTTTCAATTGTCTAGACCCAGTAATGTCAATTGTTGCTGGTCTCAGTGTTAGAGATCCATTCTTGATGCCATTTGATAAGAAGGATGTAAGTTTGTTCTTTTTCTAGCCATATTATTATCGGATGCTTCTTCTGGCTATATTGCTTTAACATTTTGTTCCCCATTACTTAATTGTGTCGACTGTTTTGGGAATATGCTTAACATCCTCCCTTGATTTCTTTGATTTTTAATCCAGACCAAACCGACTGGTTCAAATGGTGAATGTGCTTGACCAGATCTTTAATCTTCCTAAATTTTGAACTTGCTCTGTAGATGGTTTGAACCCATAAGTCTATAGATGGTTTGAACCCATAAGACATGATGTCCGGCAAGAGATATTGCACTTTGCCACTTGACTTCTAGTATGCTTTTAGTGTTAGATGACAAAACAATTTACTTATTCTTCAAAGAGATGCTTGAGCTTAAGTAAAAGAATGAGGAGATGAGGGTACTCGATTGCCTGACCTCTTTCATGGGTGCTCAGCGCCTGATCCAACTGAGCACTCTCTTTGTTCTGTAAGTACCTTAACATACGATTGGAATATTTTAATGGCTAAGTGTGCAACCAGGTCAACTTACTGACCCAGAGGGACTTGGTTGTTAATCAACGTGGGTTGAAAACACCGCCCATTGTCGATTAAGTGGGAGGACAAGTCTGCCTTAAAAACCCTGTTTTCATGAGATAATTGCGCTGGGAAAGCACAATGTAAACCTTTTCAGCCATTTTCTGGCTGTTTTTGGAAGGCGACGATCAGTAACTAGAAGCTTACTCAGAGTCATAGGCAGTTCATCATAGGGAAACATGTTAATTCCTGTGCTGTAATGAGTGGCTTGAGGTTGTGTTGAGCAAAAGTGTGGTGGCATGTGGTAGCTTATAGTTTATGCAACCCTAGGGTCATATGATTGGCTGAGAAAATTTCAACCTTCTGTATTCTATTTTGTGTGGGTTAAATTCTGCTTTTGACTGTGCTATAGAATAGTTGATGATATTCTCATGGTAGTTTCAACTTAATGTAGCTTGCAGAGTCTGCAAAAGCCCAATTTTCTGGCCATGACTACAGTGACCATCTTGCACTTGCTCGAGCCTATGATGGTTGGAGAGATGCTGAAAGACAACAGGCTGGCTATGAATACTGTTGGCGGAATTTTTTATCTGCACAAACTATGAAAGCAATAGGCTCTCTTAAGAGGCAATTCTTTTCTTTGCTCAAGGATATCGGTATTGTTGATCAAAATACGGAGCTTTCTAATTCGTGGAGCCATGATGAGCATCTTATTCGGGCAATCATTTGTGCCGGTTTGTTCCCAGGAATATGTTCTGTTGTGGTGGGTGAGATTGTTTTACTGTTGTTTCTAAATCCACTTTGAAATGATTTGTTCCGCTTTACCCCTGCCCCAGTACTCTTCATAAGTTTTCTTTAGTAATTTATTATTTAAATCTGGGGTTATTAAATTGACCAAAGTTTGACACAGGGATAGATGACACCACTTTATTTAAAGCGACTGCACCTTTTCATGTGGGGCTTGTAAAATTATGGCTTTTTGATTGATGAGATGAATATTATCTATATGTCCACTTTTTGTAAGTTGAGTCTCTAATTTGATGAGAAACCAATGCAAACCAATGCAACTCAGGATCCTCTTTGAGTTAGCAAGAGATGTCACTAATAAATAAACATGTGCAGGTAAATTGCGCCTCTTATAGTTCTATTAAACTTCTCAATTTATTTACTTGCAGAACAAAGACAAGTCGATTTCTTTGAAGACAATGGAGGATGGTCAGGTGCTCCTATACTCTGTAAGTCTCTCGTCATTTTAGAACGGCGTTTCTTTCTGTGTAGAACATATTTTATGGAATTGATACGGCGAAATTTTTCTTTTAGTTTCTAACGTGGATTTTCTTTGTTGACACTTGGAATAGAATTCTGTGAATGCCAGTGTCCCAAAGATTCCATACCCATGGTTGGTTTTCAATGAGAAGGTCAAGGTTAATTCAGTTTTCCTTCGAGATTCGACGGGTATTTCTGACTCTGTGCTTCTCTTATTTGGAGGAAACATTTCAAGGGGTGGACTTGTGAGTTCTCTCACCTCAGTTTTTTCATTCGTTGGGTATTATGCTTTATTTATTGTAATTTTAGTTTTTGGCTAATTTCATTGGATACTTAGATGAAAATTCACTTCCCCCTATATCTTGTCATCAGACAATGAATTGTCTAAAGTACCGCTTGCATTTGATAGGATGGTCACCTAAAGATGTTGGGAGGATATTTGGAGTTCTTCATGGAATCTTCGTTGGCTGAGACATATTTAAGCCTAAAAAGAGAGCTTGGGGAACTCATCCAGAATAAGGTGAGGGTTTAACTTGTCATCGCGAAGTCGAGTGCATTCCAGCAACCTTTTTTCTTTTCCAGGTTACAACTCTTTTTTGTCTTTCCCTTATTCCTAACTTTAAGTTGCATGTTTGATTGCAGCTTCTGAATCCCAAATTAGATATACAATGCTCCCGTGATCTTCTAATGGCAGTAAGGTTGCTTGTCACAGAAGACCAATGTGAAGGTAGATTTGTCTTTGGTCGTCAGTTGCCTAAGAAAGTCCCAAAAGTAACATTACAGGCCACATCATCGAAAGGCACAAAGGGAGCCAATGTTGATAATTCGAAGAACGAATTGCAAACTTTACTTGTTAGGGCAGGACACGAAGCACCAATCTACAAGACAAAGCAAGTGAAAAACAATCAATTCCGTTCTACTGCGATCTTCAATGGATTGGATTTCACAGGACGGCCTTGCAGCAATAAGAAGCTCGCGGAGAAGGATGCGGCTGCCCAGGCATTGCTCTGGTTAAGGGGTGAGACTCATCTATCCTCTTCCGATGTGGATGCTGTGTCTACGCTCGTAAAAAAGAAGAAGGTTAAGAGTCAGAGGACAGCACGCAGCAGTAGGTGGAGTTAAGTTGGCCATAGTAGCAGTGATATCTGTACGCATTAACACTGTCAGCCAAAAAGAGCAGAGCTCCTAATGCTATCAAAGGTTTGAGAGAACAAATTCTGGGCTCTGAAAGCTTTATCTCTTCAGTTGACGAAGTCACATCAGAGAGTACATCTTTGGCACTCCATGACAGATGCTGAACTTCATTCGCTGGAAAATGGTTTTACAGGTCAAAATTCTTTTGGCGCCAGAGGCTGGAGGATCAATTCTCTTCAGATATCGCAAAGCTCATCAATTGGTCCTAACTACTGTAAGCAGTACCTCTGCGGCTCCTGTTGGAGGCAAGAACTGCTGAGCAAAGTCTGCTGGCGACATCACATCCGAGACTCCGACAGCACAGCTTACCTAAACCCCTCATGGATTCCTGACATGGAGGGAATGTTCTTCTCCTGATTTTTTTTTTCCTGCAATTGATTATCTTGTATATGAGTAATAGCACAGTTGAAAGTTAGGTGGATGGAAGAATTGCCGCCTCGCATCAAACCATTTGTCAACTTTAGATCGACAGTGCTGTGCATACGGAAATGATGGATTGAATGGCAACTTGCCTTCCGAAAATTCGATACCCTGGACAGTTGTGTATATTGCTATTTATTTCCAAGTATTCTTGGCCAGATAGGCAGAATGTAGATTCAAGGTAAAACTTAAGTTAGTACAAGGCAGACGCAATTGCAGAAGGGGCTTGAGAGAATTCCGTCCCTCGAAGTGTGAAATCATCATCTAATCTCCATTTCAATATAAATCTGTCACTCGTTTAGCTCAATTTTTACCCTTCCGTGATGCTCAATCCGTGCCGAAAGCTAGTCACTATATGATTTTGGAGGGGGCTAGGCTCCAGCAAAAGCCAATTTCGTCTTGTGTTTCCATTCCTGGAAGGCACATTTCAATTACTTGTAACAAGGTTGATTTTGGCGATGCCAGGAAGGAAAGATCTTATGAGCAACAAAGGTGCAAAACATGAATTCAATCCCCTAGACAGAATTAGGGACTATTGGACCATCACTCTGTAATCAGCCTGAGAATTGAACAAAACATCACGACAAATTATGGACAAAACAAGAAAAATAAAAGGAAACCACTTCCTGTGTATGGACAAAAAAATATGTTTGGTCAACGCAAAAGCTCCAAGGCTTTCTCCAATGTCTGTCTGAACCTATTCACATCAAGCTTTACGTTCTGCTTGTCCAAGTACATTGACTTGAACAAATACCAATTATTCTTATGGAACGCAATTGGGTCCTTGAAAACCACATGGTCAAGTGGGAACTCTTGCATGAGGCTGCTCTCCTTCTCCCGTATGCTGTAATCCAAGTACTCGATGTTCATACGCTTTGCGGGATCGCCAAAGCAAACCTTGGCATGCCACTCAAATTTCCCGATAGGGAGTACCTGAATGAGGACCGCGTTTTCCGGGAGGAAAACCATGTTCGTCAGGCCGGCTCCGTGAACTCCCATCATCACGTCGCAGGAGTTCACGATCTCCGGGGTCCTCGACATGTTGGAGTCCAGCTCGGAGGCGACCACTTCGTACCCCAAGTTCTCGGCCATGGTCATGATTTCTGCAAGGTTGGTGAAGGAGCGCGACCACTTTCTTGACACGATCAGGAGACGAGGCCGTCTTTTGAGCTCACCACCCTGTAATTTGATCGCGTTCTCCTTCTTTAGTGAGTAGGCGCTCCTAAGGAAGGCCCTGAAGTCGGCCATAGAGTAGGGAGATCTCGAAGGATCAATTGTCATCTCCTTGTGATGCTTTAGCCCAACAATGACTCTTGGGAAGCAATGGATGTACTCTCCTGCATAGTCGATGTTGATAATTTCGTACTTCGACAGATTTTCCAGTATGGCACGGAACTTCTGAACCCACCGAGGATTTCTATCTGTTACCAGGAATTTGACTTCTCCTCCAAAATGCCGAGTAGTCAAGAAGAGCGGAATGATGATGTCGGTGAATGCGTGAAAATTGTTTCCTGCGTATCCTCCTGTTGAGAAAATGACTCCCGGAACGCTGTGGTGTTCGGTGCAAATGGGGATAGGTTGGCGGGCCACGGCTGACGGTAAGATTGACCATTTCTTAATTGGACTCATTGCCGTTTCATCGCCTTTGCGTGCGTAAGGCCTTATAGTCCACGAGTCATTGCCAGTGAGCATTTCAGAGGGCGCAACGAAAACAGTGGAGGAGCTTCCTTGAACTCTAACATCACCGGTGATCGAACAATAATCTGACTTTGGATCCATGACATTGCAAAAAGGCTCCATCCTCGTGAAATTTTTCTGAACTGTAGAGTTAATGGCAAAATCAATACGATCAGATATAACAAGAGGGTGTCATCCAATATAATTTCATCCAAATCACCAAGACGATGACAGTGATTTGATTGTCATCACAGCTTACCTGTAATAACTTCTTGTTCTGGAGGTGCACTTTTCTCTTCAATCAAAAGCATCTTGTGACCATCACCAGTTTTCAACCTCAAAGTCACTGCAAACACGACAAACACAAAGAATGTTCAGAGAACATGCAGAACATAGAGGACCCAAATGCCTGATCATCGATCACTGATTCACGGTCTAAAGCACAAACAAACGTGTGAATTATCTGACCGACTTACAAGCTGGTAGAGGTCCCAGGTGAGGCTTGAGAGCAGTGAAAATGCTGAACACAATGATTAAGCAACAGATGATTGCTCCATAACCCAACTTTTTCTGGTCACTCCTACTAAAGCTCCTGGAGAGTATCGTGTCATACATCATCTTTCACTCTGTGCCCGCCTGAGCACCCTCAAAGTAGAGTGCCAAGACAAAGAATGAATGATGTGTTTTGTTTGAGGCAAGTGCTTTTTCTATTTGCAGATCAGAGAAAGATCTGCAGACCTCAGAGGAATCTCTGATATTGAATGGTTTTTGTAATTGAAAGAAGAGGCAATAGTTTCAACTTTTTCAAGGGTCATTTAGTCGAGGGACCATCTTGAGTGAAAATTTTTGTTTAGGCTTTAGCCGGTTTGTCCGAAATTTATCAAATGGGGTTTGAAAAGGACTCGGAAGATGACTGCTGAGGCAAGGAACAGCTCCATCAATGATTGGTTGGGTGGACATGTCTGCATGAATCAATAATCCATTAAATCTTGCTTCCTCGTGTGTTTTACCACCACAAAGTCGGTGAAAAACTTTCAACGCTCTTGTTTCATGACAAGCATCTTCTTTTGGGTGTCTAATTTAACGTTGGAGGATTAAGAATTTCCAGAACACAAAGTTAAATAAGTTGGTTTCAAGGTTTCGGTACATGACCCATGCCCCTTCTTCAACCACTTAAGTTTTTTGAACAGGTGATTTCCCCACCTACTTTCGGTGTTCGAAGTCTCAGCTGTGACACAATATCGATATCTACATCAAAATAAACACTGAGATCGTCATCTTGGAAGCTTCAGTTAAAACTATTCACTTACTGAACTATTCAAAGGATTCGTCACAGTTTACGCAAGTAGGTCAAAGGAAGCACACATTCACACTGACCGAGTCGCGCCGAGTTCGAGTAGCCAATTGAGCAGTGATTTGTTGAGTCCACTGTGCAGAGAAAAAAACTGGAACGAGTCACAAGGCGCACAAAGCTTGATTTGGTGGTTGAATTGATTTGGACGTTGGACAGTTTGTTCTTTAGGGTGCTGATTCACAAGTGATCATTGCGTTAGGCAACCATTATAATATAATCACCTGTTTGCTGGATTCTTTCAAAGCAGTACGTGTGTGCTTAGATAAAATAATGATCATTGGTCCTTTTTGGCTTCATTCGCCTATAAAAATGGTGGAGGTTGAAGGGGCGTTTTCACACGATAATGCATGTCCCAAGTGATCTCTTCCCCACATGCTGAACATACATTTATCTGGGTTAGGGGAATCTCCTCCTCCTCACTCAAGACATAAAATATGACTTTGACCCTCATAAACACTCAATCAAAAGAACCTACCAATGCTGATCTTATATGCTGATGAAGCTGTAATTCGGTGACTATGTCTAAACTAATCACGCCGACGGCACCAGAAGTGGAAACTACGTGGTGCATTAAAACTAATCTCCAGTTGTCAACATGGATGTTCTTGATTCGTGGCAATGTGTGGCCTTCCTCGATCAGTACAGCTGCTTTATATTTGTAATTGTATGGTTCTGATTAGGTCAAATTCATCATCATTCGACAGCTTATTTCCAGCATTTGTACATAGATAGAACAGACCCAAATAAAAAGTTGAATTAAAAACAAGCTAAGGAGAGGGAAAGGACTGACTGCCAATCCCGTTTTTTAGAATGTTCTAATGTTAGACTTACCATTCATATTACTTCTTGATTTGTTGTACTAACTACCTTGACTTTGAAGAGAGACAGATGCAGCCTACAACTTTTAATCAGTCTTAGTACTGTGTTGTTCAAATTAGCCCACAAAAAATTGTAGAGAGAGAGAGAGAGGAATTGGTAAAAATGTTTTGTTACCAAGACCAAAGCATATGATAGGTTTATAAAAAATAAAAGACAGTATATAAAGTGATATATGCTCAGTTGATTGCGTGAGCAATAGTTATGTAGATACATATGTGCTGGTTGATGGGACTTTTCAGCAATATGTGAGGCGTGTATCATTCATTGTGAACCAATTGACTTTCTTTTCTTAAGGGATACTACACCCTCAAATCATGCAAGACTAATTGATGGAAGATAGCATTTTTTATTTCCAAGGATCACATGAACTCATCTCATTATTTTCATTCGTTAGTGTAGCACTACTCTTATTTTATTTTCCCTTTGGTTTTTTAATGCGTCTATCTCTGATCAATGAATCTATTTGACAGTTTCTCTAACAATGCATAGGTTGGTAAAAGGTTGAGGTAGTCTTTGAACATTAAGAAGTTATAGCACTCTTGACTTTAGGAGATCCCACATATTCCACTTCCAATTGTTAGGGCTTTCATCATGGAAAGAGCTAGGTAAAAGGTTGAGGCAGTCTTTGAACATTAAAAAACTATAGTACTCTTTGAGTTTATGAGATCCCAGATATTCCACTTCCATCGGCAAAATTACTATAAAAGTCCTAAACCTATTACAGTTGTATCAATTCAGTCTAAAACATTTTTTTTTTACCAATTGACTCTTAAACTTTTTACATTTGTACCAATTCAGTCTATCCGACCAACTTTGGCTGGAAATCACTGATCAAGTGACGCTACCAACACTAACGTAGATAATTTTTATAATTTTTTATAGTTTAAATCATTTTCTTTTGGGGTTAATACCACAAAAAACCCCAAATTGGCACGCGTGTGACAATTTTACCCCGAACTTTTTTTTACCATCAAAAACCCCAAACTGGTACACCTGTGACAATTTTACCCCAAACATACCACAAAAAACCCCAAACTGATACACTTGTGATAATTTTACCCTGAACATACCACAAAAAATCCCAAACTGGTACACATGTGACAATTTTACCCTGAACTAAAATTTTAATATTATTTTTTACTTTTTCGATTTTTTATTAATTTTTTTGTTTTTTCTTTTCTTCTTTTTTTCTTCATCTTCAATCTTTGGCCGGTCACCGGACCGGCGACCGGCCAGAGGTGGAAGCTGGCGAGGTCGACCCCGATAGCTGCTGGCGAGGCTCGACCTCGCCGGCGTCGGGCGAGGACCACCTTCGCCGGCATCGGGCGACCCTCGCCCGACTCCTCGCCAGACGTCGGCGAGGACAGCCCTCGCCCGACGTCGGCGAGGGCGGCCCTCGCCAGCGCCGGCGAGGTTGAGCCTCGCCAGCAGCCGGTGGGGCTGACCTCGCCGGCTTCCGGCGACCGGCCAGAGGTTGAAGATGAAGAAAAAAAAAACAAAAAAATTAATAAAAATTCGAAAAAGTAAAAAATAATATTAAAATTTTAGTTCAGGGTAAAATTGTCACATGTGTACCAGTTTGGAGTTTTTTGTGGTATGTTCAGGGTAAAATTATCATAAGTGTACCAGTTTGGGATTTTTTGTGGTATGTTCGGGGTAAAATTGTCACAGGTGTACCAGTTTGGGGTTTTTTGTGGTATGTTCAGGGTAAAATTGTTACAGGTGTACCAGTTTGGGGTTTTTGATGGTCAAAAAAAAAGTTCAGGGTAAAATTGTCATACGCGTACCAGTTTGGGGTTTTTGGTGGTAAAAAAAAAGTTCGGAGTAAAATTGTCACACGCGTACTAGTTTGGGGTTTTTGGTGGTATTAACTCTTTCTTTTATTTTATTTTTTCCTCTCTTTTTTTCTGTTTTTTCATTGTGGTCGGCAAGGCTGGACCTCGTCGTCGAGCGAGGTCATGCCTTACCCAGCCACTGGCGAGGGCAACCCTCGCCAGAGGCCGCGAGGTTGAAGACCGCGAGGACCGGCCTCTCAACCTCTAGTGAGAATTGAGCCTCGCCCAACCCCTAGCAGCCCTTGCTAGAGGCCGCAAGGTTTGATCGGCGAGGGCTGGACCTCGCCATCACTAGGTGAGGTCCACGTCAGTACTGGTGGCGTCACATCAACGATTTCCGGTCAAAATTGGTCGGATGGACTAAATTAACTTAAATGTAAAAGGTTTATGACTTAATTGGCCAAAAAAAAGTTTAGAACTAAATTGACACAGTTGCTACTAGTAAAAAAAATTTGGTAAGTTTTCCCACTTCCAATTGTTAGGTCTTTATCGTGGAAAGAGCTAAGTAGCAGCCCAAATCAAATAGGGCTTAGAAAACCTTCAATGATTCCATCAGGTTAGGGCTTTTTTCTGAGCCTTAAATCCATATGAGTGCACCAATTTGCAATGCATGAAACTTGAAAGCTACAAAAGGGCCAACCCATCCATCTTACTGATATTTTTCCTTGTACACATTGAGAGAGGCATCACAAGTGCTCCACTAAAATTTAGTGGACACTTGGATTAAATCACCCACAGTGTAATCAATTAGGTCTGGTGTGGTTTTAATATGTAATTGACATGATAAAATGGGTCATCAAAGGCTCGAGAATATTGTTAATGGTTAGCGTATTGGGCATGATGTTTATCCCCTCACTGCCTTTCCTTTCCACAATTCTCCACCGTGCATATAACAATTGTGGCGTATTCCATTCTTCAAGTCCACATCAAATACATCTAAGATCTCCCAGCACTAAAATGCACATATGAACAACACAAAGCAACAAAACCTTAGTGCAACATTCAATGGCCAATTCAACTTCACCTCTTCTCTCGAAATCCGACTCATCGGAGCTGGAAATTCCAGACGCCGATGCAACCCAACCCAATTTGCTAGACGAACTGGTCGAATGGTGCATCGGAGGGCTCGATTCTAGGCAGATCCTCCAAGCCATGCTTGTTTCGCTGGCTTGGTTCTTCGATGGACAACAGGCCTACATCAGCGACTTCACCGATGCCGAGCCGACGTGGCACTGCACCGGCACGGCTAATACGACATGCGACTCGAGCTCCGATGTCTGCGACCTCTCGGACAGTTCATGGGCTTGGGATGGGCCTGCTTACAAGTCCATCATATCGGAGTGGGCCCTCGAGTGTGCAAACTACTTCATCACGGGCCTGCCCACTTCATGCTTCTACTTGGGCTGCCTGATAGGCGGTTTTGCATTCGCCACCCTCGCCGACTCCTCCCTCGGCCGTAAGAATTTGCTCGTCCTCTCGTGTTTGATAATGTCATTAGCCGCTCTAGCGACCTCATTTTCCCCCGACGTTTGGGTGTACTCGGCCCTACGGTTCGTGAGCGGGTTCGGACGTGCGTCGATCGGCACATGCGCCACCATTTTGTCCACCGAGATGGTCGGGAAAAATTCAAGAGGGCTAATCGGGATGATGGGCTTGTTCATCAACACGTTGGACTACTGTCCTTGCCGGCTATAGGATACCTCCTTAGAGATGCTTCATGGAGATATCTCTACGTCGCGACCTCCACACCCGCGCTCATCTACACTTCGGTGACTTTCTTCCTCGTAAGGGAGTCCCCGAAATGGCTCTTCATGCAAGGCCGCGACAAGGAAGCCCTGGCGACACTGACCAGATTCGCGCCGCCGACAAAGCACAGTAGACTGAAACAGTACCTATCGAGGTTGCTCCACGAGCAAGAAACTACGAAATCGGGCCTCTACTCTTCATTAAAGTACATTCTTGACCGGCGATGGGCTTCAGCACGGCTGTTGAAGGTGATGGCACTCGGGTTTGGCACGGGGATGATGGACTACGGCATATTGTTGGGGGTGGGGAACCTCGGTTTCGACCTTTACCTAAGTGTCACCTTCAATGCCTTGGTAATTCTACCTTCGTATGTGGCTTCCTACTTCTTGATAGACAGATGGAAGAGGAGAGATTCAGTTCTCAGCTTCACCATGCTCAGCGGGTCACTCAGCATAATCTGTGCAATTTTGGGAAGTGGGAGCTTATTAGAGATAGGGTTCGAGCTGGGCTCGTTCTTTTGCACGTGCGTGGCGTACAACGTGCTCCTGATCTACACCATCGAGCTGTTCCCCACGCGTGTGAGGAACTCGGCAACGTCCATGATGAGGCAAGCTGTGGTGCTTGGGGTGCTGTTGGATCCAACGTTGATTTCAGCTGGGAGAGACATGAGGTGTTTGACGTTCTTGGTGTTTGGAGTGACCATCATTTGCTGTGGTTGTATGGCTGTGTTCTTGCCAGAGACTCTCTGTGATGCCTTGGATGAACAAGAGCAGAGAATCACCACAACTTCATGAGATTGACTTCAGTTTATACATTTCCCTTTTTTTTTCCTGAATGTAATAAAAAGAGTTTATAGTCACTTAAGTATGAGGCCATGGATTAACTTGGGGTTGTTTGAAGCTTCTTCTTTTTATTTTTATTTTTGTCTCCTCTGGACACAATATTGTGATAATTTGAGAGTGTCCTAGGATCAGAATAAATCATCTCATAAAAATTGAGATAATCATCCAAAAAGTTCGAAAATTATTGTATAATAGTCAATTCAGTCCAAAACTCTTTAATTTGGCAAATTTAGTCCTAAATATTTTGACAATTTGTCAATGTAGTCCTTTTAGTCAATTATGGCTAGAAAACATTAATGTAGACGCTAGTCATCCTACGTGGCATGGCTGGTACCAACGCAAACAATTTTTTGCAATTTTTTTTAAAATTTTCTGAATGTTTTCTCTTTTTTTTTCTTTTTTTGCCTTTTCTTTTCTTTCCTTCTGCTTTTTTTCTTACATCCTTCTACCAATTGAGGGCCATAGGCAAGGATCGCCCTCGCTAGTCACAGCCCTCACCGGATCTAGGCAACCTTCGTCGACTATTACAGAGGCCTGGTGACTGACAGAGGGAAATAGGGAAAAAAAATTCAAAAATCGTCTTAGTTAGTGCTAGTCATGCCACGTAGGACGGCTAGCGCTGACATAAATGATTTTTGCAAAATTTTCTTTTCTTTTCCTTTAGATGAGCTATTTGAAGGAATCTTTCATTATATGGCCTCTAAAGCTTCTACGAATATATTTTCCTCTGAGTTTTAACAAGAGGAACCACAAACAGCTCTTCCCTTTCTATTCAAAGAAAGAGATGGGGAGAACCATCACTTGGAACACCCAAAAAGCTTGGAAAATGCCTTTTCTGAGTCGCCTACCTATCTGTGGCTGTGCCACGTAAGACGGTTGGCACTACACTGATAAGACCGCCACATCAGCTATTTCCGGCCAATTACAAACAAGAGAAAGGTTTGAATGCACCCCTCTCCCATATATGTATAAATAGAATAAACCATTTATACATAATGATAAAGGGATCCCCCAATGACCATAGGAAATGACTAGAAAATTGAAGAAAATTTTTAATAATTACCAACTTGATCTTGTTGCCCCCAGCAATAAATGTGCATGAACCATTTCCCAAAGTACGTGTCCGGAAAGCCCAAAGTCTCGATAGTTAGCTCTCGGTCAGCAAACTATCAAAAGTTTCATGACTAAATTGGCCAAATTAAAAAGCTTAGGCCTGAATTGGTCATCATACAATAATTTTGGAAAATTTTAAATAATTTTCCTCGTAAAAATCTAATCCAATTGACAAGGACTGGGCATGAATATGTGGAGCAGCTGGACGAAGAAATGTGTTTGGCATTTGTACATACTCCACCGCACATTTTGGTCATAGACAGAGTGATGCTATGCCTTTACATATATTGTAAGTTGATCTTTATATCTGGAACATTAGTCTTTTGCTTTATTTGTGAGTGAATATTCAATCAGAGAAGGAAAGAAGTCAGTTGAGCTTATTAGAGAGACTTGTTATTGTCTAACCTAAGTTACACAAAAGGAAAAAAGAAATTTGAGAAACGCTAAGCATATGAAGATCGATTTACAAAATCATCAAAAGAAAAGAGAATTATTGAGACTCAAACATTGCTCAATAGAAATTAACTTAACAATTCCCACGCATCAGGAAAACCCCACCTCAAGCGAGACTCACCGTCCTTGGCGTTTCTCACCTACGGCACCCCACCACCACTCCGGCGACTGTCCACCATGACGGTCCCTCACTCCAGCGTCCTCAAGTATCCTCGCCAGTGCCTTTGCTCGCGACTTACTTGGAAGGCTAGGGCTCACCACCTCATCCGTGGCTCCCTCTCTTTTTAAGTCGGTTTTCCAGCTTTTCTACCATCATCGAATCATCTTTTGGTTCCTCTCTCCACTTCACTTTTGATTACTCATTCTCAGCCTCCATTGTTCCACGATCTCTCTCTTGGTTGACTCTTAACTATGCGTTCATCAAATGTTTGATGAAACACCCGAGAGAGATCCTCCTCGCCTTCGTTTTGGAATTTTGCTTAATATAAGAGGTGATGTATGTTAAAAGTCATCAAGCTCCCGAGGCCGATTTCCTAGAGACTACTTGTTGACGACAGTGGTTGAGAGGGTCTGAGTCATTGCGTACACGAGGAGTCTGTCGGAGATTAGATATTAAAAGATTTTCAAAGATTTTCAACAAAAAGGATTTTAAAAGATTTTCAATTCTATCTTAGGTTGCAGATTTTCAAATATTTCAAATCGTATCTTAGGTTGCACCAAACATTTGATGGGATATTTTTACAATCCGGATGATATTTGAAGGAATTCGAATCCCCCTCCCAATCCGAATCCGAACAATCAAACGCAGCCTCATAGTCTGTGAAAACACATCTTATGCTGATTTGATAAACTAATGTTTGTTACCTAGCATTAGCTCAAAAAATTTGAAGGACACATTTTTACTTCACCTATTTCACTTTGATTTGGCCATCGGTCTCACTCAAACATTGCTCAACAGATAACCTGAAATGTAATCTTTCTCATGTGGCAAAAAGAAATTATCCTTATCAACTATTTCTTGAAATGCTGTCTTGATTTGAAGTGGTTTAAATGGACTTGGAAGGTGATTCTGGGTACAAAATGAGAAGCTGAGAGCAACGGGACATGGGAAATTAGGGCTTTTATGATGGGATTTGTTGCGAAAACAAGTGATCAAATAATAAAATAGATCGCCGCAGGGTGACTTAACCGGTGGCACGTGTGTGGTGGCTAGCACGTGTCTCCCCCAGGGTTTACTCCCCGGCTGTCGGCCGTGCGGGGGTTCCCTGGGTTACCAAAAAAAAAAAAATATAATAATAATAATAATAATAAAATAGATAGAACAAGGAAATAAATCGGATGCTAGATTTACGTAATTCGGTCGGGTGAACTACGTTCATGAGGAGAACATCAAAGAATTTCATTATGGATTAAGCCTTACAATGGATATTACAACCACGCTTGAGTCACTCAAACACTCTCAGTGTTCCCAGTTCTCAATTACACCCAATAACTCACACAGTGTTTAGTCCCATAATTCCTCATGAAATATCTCTCAATCTCATGAAGGAATTACAAATCTTACCACAAGATTTAATCGACTTCAACATTAAAAGCTCTTGGTGTAATTGCACAAACGAAACCCACGGAGAAAAAAAAAACTTTGCCAAGCAATCAACGAAAACGGCACTTCAACTTCTCCGTGTATTCATCAACAACGGTTCTTCAACCTAAAGACGTCATGGTTACTTTGACATTTATGCAAACAAGCCACACGAATTGGAGAAAGAAACTAAATCTCAGTGAGATTCGATCAACCAAGTACAAGATTTGGATTTTCCTATTTCGTCTTTTTCTTTGGCTGACTTCACCAATAGGGTGATATAATTTGTGTGCCCCTTCTTATTTTATTTCACGACCAAGAACCGTATATTCCCTTTTACATGACCATTTACCACTTCACTTCGGCCCGGGTTTTAATTGACGAGCTCAAATTCCAAACATATTTTAACAATCTCCATCTTTGCTCAACATTTGAGCCAATTCGCAATCGCTTCGCTAAAAAAATTTAAACTCCACTACTACTACTCTCCCACAGCCCCTCACGGGCTCAACCACCACAGACGCCTTCCAAGTCCAAGGTTCACTTAAACTTCATCATAACCGTGGACCTCATGAGAACATCAACTTCACTTGCATCTTTAACTACTTCACAAGGATTTTCCAACACAACATCCTTTACCACAAATAAAACAAAACCACCATTGCATACATATATGTCAAGAGATCAAATACGCACATTGTCAAACTCATCAATTACAGCAATTGTTTACTCTACATGATCCACATCGCTACAAGCACCATCTGTGTAGATTACTTCACTAACACCCACTACCTCGGGAGTTTTTGGTCGTATCTCTACCTCAAGCTGAACATCACCAAGATCCGTATAAACACTACTATAATCACTCCTAATGAGAAGTACTGGAGACTGGTCAAATGTAACTTCTCTACTGACAACATGTGAATTTAATTTTGGGCACTACAACTAATAACCCCACTCACCTTGTGCATAGTCTAGGAACATGCACTTTCTTGCCCTCCCATCAAGCTTACCATCACTCGCTCGAACATAACATGGGCAACTAAATATTCTAAAAATAAAATAATCAGCAACGTTACCTGACCACACTTCTTTGAGAGGCCAATATCCAATCACAATCAATGGGGATCTATTTACCAGGCAGCTCGTCGTACTAAGCGCATATGCTAGGAATCTTCTAGCCATACCAGCACTAGAGAGCATTCTTATGGGTCGTCTCCAGTAATGTTCTGCTGATCAACTCTACAACTTGTTGTGGTTCTCTAGCACTAATGTAATGTCTCACTAGTTTTCCTTCATGCAGAATTCATTTAACAGCTCCGAGTAAAACTCCAAGCTATTAGTTCGCAACTGCTTGATCATTTTATCAGTTTCCTTTTTAATCAAAGCTCTTATTGCTTGATCCTAATAACGGCATCAAACTTGTGCATTAGTACAAACACCATTTCCCCAAGTAGTCGTCCACAACTATTAACATAAATTTGGCACTATTCCTTGAAGGAAATCACGATAACCTGCGAATATCCAAGTAAATTAACTTTGCAATCTCAATGATTTCTCTAACAGCGGTACTGAACTGCATTTTCTGTCGTTAATCTAAGTCACAGCACCTGCACACATTTAGTTTGTCAGTTACATAACCACATAGCAAATCCCTTTAACTTAGAACCTTTAAGCTTTTCTTGCTAATGTGTCCCAAATGTATATGCCACAAATCAGACTCACGAACAAATGCATCCGACGTCTCCACGACGAATTTTGTCACTGTCTCACCTTAAACCTCACATAGGCCACTATGTTTGAT